CTCCCTCATCGCCTGGCAATCCTCCACTGTGTGATGAGAACTCTCACACCACTGGCAGAGCATCGCCTGCTGCTGTCCGGTACCTGCAATCATCCCGGAACGATCAATAGCTGAAACCAACTTCGATACCACCTGCACCAGATCAGATGACTGGGTGGATACAGCATGCACACCCCGTCCTGGTGCTCGTCTCGATCTCCTCGCAGTTCCCCAGTCATAGCCCTGCTCTGCCATCTCCTCAAAAAGTTGATTCAGCTGGGGCGGTGTTTTGGTGAGCATATTCCCGCCATAGACCGAATCAATCAGCTGCTTGTCCTCCGGGGAGAGGGCATGGTAGAAGGTTCCCACCTTGAAGGCATTAGTAAAACCATGGTTGGGACACTTGAGGAAGAGACTGGTGTATCTCTCCCAAGCGTCCCGGATGGTCTCGTCTTCATCCTGAGCAAAATGGGTAATCTGCTTCTGCAGGTCCGCCGTCTTGGACGGAGGATGGTAGCGGGTGAGGAACTTGTCCGCCAGGTTGGCGAACGTGGTGATAGAGCTTGGAGGTCGAGTGTCTAGCCACTCCTTGGCCTGCCCCTTCAGAGTAAACGGGAAGTACCTCAGCTGAATGGCATCTGCTGGGACCCCATTTATCTTGATTCCATCGATGAGCTCGTGAAATCGCCTGAGATGTGATCGGAGGCACTCCCCCTCTTTGCCATGGAACACAACCGAACCGCGCAACATTGTGATGACAGAGGTGCTCACCTCAAAGTTGTTTGCTGGCACATTAGGGTGTTGAATGGGTGACCTCATGTCCGCGGCCCTGGCGGTCCAGTAGTATCCCATGGTCTGCTCCTCGGGAAGGACCACATCATGGTCCTGTGGATCACCCATCTCTTCTTCTTCGGCGATCTGCAGCTGTGCTAGCTCCTCCTCCGCAGCCAGTCGCGCCTTTAGAGCCCCCTTGAAGTTCCTGCAGGTTCGTTCAAGCTCATGGTCTAATGGTAGTAGATCTCCCGATTGGCTACGGGTCATGCACTACCTGCACACAATCAGCAGAAACAACCCGTGAAGGCACACAGGTGGAAGAGATAAAATGCAGTAAAGAAAAAGCTAGAGTAACAAATTTTCACGTTTCTCCAATAACCTAGAGGTTTCCCCGGCAACGGCGCCAAAAACTTGACACGCCAAAACACAACACCAAACTGCGACCAAGTGTTATCGCAGAATGGGACTGCAGTAAAGTGGCAAGTTCTAATTATCAACCCGGGGTCTAGATCTACTGCCTACTCCGTGATTATCTATTATCTAGCCAACTAAGTCGATTGATTGTTGTTTTAACTAAAAGCAGAAAGAAAGCAAGAATTGGTTCGGTTTTCTCAAGCAAAGGAAGAGTCACTCAGGAATGAGTCCCCCTAGCTCCTTAGTTAGGCCTCAGTTGTAATTACCCTGGTTTGATTTACTGTTGATTAGACTGCGGAAGATCCGACAGTAGCTTGGAATCTCTTAAGCTGACCAAGCCCTCTCAGACTAACTACCCGGCAGACGACTAGTCTTCACCGGGATAGAAAGCTGAAGCAATAAGCACAGAACTCCACTACTGGAATCGGATTCTAGTACACAGCAGTAGACTGACTAACTCTCGTATAGCCAATCTACTACTACTACTACTACTACCGAATGATGAAGCTCTAACAACCTAATCAGATTCTATCTATCTAAGGTTGCAGCAGAAATCAAGAAAAGCTGATCAGACTTCAATCAATTCAATGAAACATGCATCATTCGATTAAAACCAAACAGTATAATTATCCCAAGTCATTACAATCAAATCCCTAACACATGGAACTAGGGTTCTTCATACCCAAGTGAGAGAAGGGTTCTACTCCATAGAGAGAGAGGAAAACAGAAATCAGAGTAGTCATACTCATAAAGATGAGGAAAATCTGCTCTGGGATGTCAATCTTCACTCCTGGGGACGCAATCTGGGCTTCAATGGTGAGAAATCCACTCCAAATAGCTCCTAGGGTTTGTTCTTCGCCCTTTCTCTCTCTAAAACTCTATTTTTGCTCTAAAAAGTCGATTCTCTCACTTGTGGCTCGAATTTGGGTAAAAACCAGAATTCCCGACTCACACGGGCAGGCCACACGGCCGTGTGACTTACCCAGATGCCCGTGTGAGAGACAAAACGCGGCGTTTCAAATAATTGGACTTCAGGCTACCTACACGGCCAGGGACACACGGCCGTGTGGCATGCCCAATATGCCCGTGTGAAGGCTTGCACAATCCCACACGACCACATTGGTTCCTCACACGGCCGTGTGGGTTTTATGTGTGCCCGTGTGGCTTCCTCTGCGACTCGCCACACGTCCGATCTTCGTCCAATCGACCCCGGACTCGCTCCCAAACCTTCATTCACGTACTAGGACCTGAAATATCACAAACAAGCACAACCTAGCGTTAAATCAGCCTAAAACACGAGAATCAACATCTCAAACGAATGAGGAATAGGGGTAAAAACATGTGCAATTAACGGTTTATCAGTAATCGTGAAAGCAAGGAGAATATTTTGGGAGCAAATATGGAAATTTTTATAGCAGTTGTTTACATTTATGATTATGAGTATAGACTGGAGATCAGATTGAGATTTTAAAGTTTGAGTTTGATTTGCCCATGTGTTAGGGTTTTCTAACTACAAGTGTCTGTTTTCAGTATTTTATTTATGAAAATTTTTCCCGCTGCAATTTAAGCTTCGAGTATTTATTTATCAAGTGCATTTTAGTAAAAGTAGTACCCGGCCGGGTTAGGGTGTTATAAATATGGTACCTGTTACACCAAGCATGAGTGCATTCAGAGATTGGCTCACAGAGATGGAGTTGATTGATCATCAGGCATCTGGCTCGTTCTTTACTTGGACAAATCAGCAAAGTGGGAATCCAATTGCGAGGAAACTTGACAGAATATTGGTAAATGAGGATTGGCTTGATGGTTTTCCAGATAGTGTGACTGAATTTCTTAATCCATCTTTCTCTGACCATTGTGGGATGCTTGTAAGACCTAGTATACCTAGGAAATCCATCCCAAAACCTTTTAGGTTTTTTGAGATGTGTATGCAGCACCCCTCCTATGATGTTACAGTGACTGAAGTATGGAACCGACAACTACAGGGGCCAGTTCTGCAGAGAATAAAAAGGAAATTCCAAATGTTGAAGAGAGAACTTAAGAAGTTAAATAGACAGGAGTTTATGAATATTTCAGATAAAGTGAAGGTGGCTAATTCCAACTTGGAATTGGCTCAGGCTCAAGCCCTTGAAGATCCCACCCCTGTCACTTCTAAACAAATGCACCTTCTCACTGAGGAATTGCAGAACTTAAGAATAGCAGAGGAAAGCTTCTATAGGCAGAAATCTTGTATTAATTGGTTTACACTGGGTGATATGAACTCAGCTTTCTTCCATAAGGCAGTAAAGATTAGGCAAGTGAGAAAGCAACTAAGGAGGTTAAATAGTAACTCAGGGACTGAAATCACGAATGAAGAGGAAATTGCAGATGAGGCAGTGGGGTTCTATCAGCATTTGTATGGGACAGTGAATCCATAAGTTAAACTAGACGAGGCAGTCATTAGATCTTTTATAAGGAAGCAGGTTAGTGAACAAAGCAAACACGAGCTATGTGCTGAGGTAACTAATGAAGAAGTTAGAGTTGCACTATTTGCTATGGATCCACTGAAAGCATCAGGCCCTGATGGGTGGACAACAGTTTTTTTCCAGAAGCATTGGAGTTTAATTGGTGGGGAAATCTATGAGCGAGTTGGGGAATTCTTCAGAATGCTGACAGAATGACAGCCTTTCGGCATATAGCGTGCATTAATGTGATATATAAAATAATTGCAAAAGTATTAGCGAATAGAATACATATTGCACTTCCTGATGTGATAAGTAGAAATCAATCAGCGTTTGTTGAAGGAAGGAGTATCTAGACAACATACTAATGGCGCAGGAGATGGTGCAGAACTATAATAAAATTAAGATTGCTTCTCGCTGTGCAATAAAAATAGATCTGCATAAGGCGTTTGACTCTGTTAACTAGGAGTATTTATTCTGTGTGATGATGCAAATGGATTTCCCAGGCGAGTTTATTGAGTGGATAAAGGTTTGCCTCATTTCTGCATATTTCAGTATCAATTTGTATGGTTCATTGTTTGGTTTTTTCCAAGCTTAGAAAGGGGTTAGGCAGGGAGATCCTCTCTCTCCCTACCTCTTTACTATTTCCATTGAACCTCTCTCAAGCATGCTAGATTTCGCTGCAAGTTCTAAATTCAACACTTCGTACAGGATGTGTTGACCTAAGAATAAATAAATTGAAGTGTTGGACACTACTTACAAAGTTGCAGTTGTGTAGCGTCTTGCCATTGAGCCACTTGCTCTAGTCAAGCATAATACACACCTAACTGATCCACTCACTTTGCGTGTTCATGGGAGTGTCCCACTCCATCACTGTTGCTACATTTAGCTGAAATATATGGAGCAACATTTAGGAACAATTGACTTAGCATGGAATGATATTACTGGTACCGGTACAAATATAGTGGTAGTGTATCACTTGTATAAATACTGGTAAATTAGTAGTGGTACCGATACCACTAGATTGACCTTGTACTGGTAGCATTGGTGTACCAGTACCACTAGGACTTAAATAGCATCAATGTAAAGTAACGGGACTAGTAGTTGTAACACCCTACCCTATACATTTTGCCTAATCATATTGTTCATACAATTGCAGCGGAATTAATCTCGGGTGTTACATTAATTATCAAAATTTACCCAAATAAAATTTCGACATGAATTACTCGCGTAATGGGCTAACAGTTCTTGCAACTTATCCTGCAAAATAATTCATCACAAACATATATACTAACAACCATATGCATTGGCTTTTCTTAGCCATAGTCACACTTTTCATACTCCACAACTGCATACCATACTTATACATACCATAATCGTCACAACTTACACAGTTACACAACATATACACACATCATCAACTTTCCACACCTGTGGATATCTCACACTAGATCAGAAGCTAGTATGCACATGAAAAACGTTCTCAAAAATTTTTTACAAAAATGTGTGGATCACTGGCCAAAATCCCGAGTAGTAGTCCAAGCACAGAATAGTTGAAGACAATACTTCATCTTGCCTTCAACTCTTGCTCAGCTCCCACCTATACACCTATCTACTGCTGCTGCTGATGATGATCTGCTTACACATGGCATAAGCAGAGAAAAAGGATAAAGAGGGTCAGCTCATAGCTGAGTGAGATAATCATAGCATCGTGAGTTTATAACAAAGCATACCCCTACCATACATCTAGCAAACAAGCCAAAACACTGGGATCAGATCTCAGCCCTCCGACATCCCAATAGGCAAAAGACTCAACCACCTTGACTTATGCATATGCATCTTATCATGTTTTAATCATAGGCGCCTGGCTACTCCCATGCTAATAACTCTCCCGGGAAACATACCCCACATCCGGTCGGATGTAGTCATACATACCCCAACATCCCGTCGGATGTGGTCATACATACCCCACACCACTATGGGTGTAGTCATACCCCGACACCACTCTGGGTGTGGTCATATCTCGTAAGAAATCTTCAGTCACTACCACATGAGAGGTGTGACTATCATACATATCATAATAGAGTAATAGCATAGGGAGCCCTAATTACTATGTAGTTGACCGTGAGACCACAACACTCATATTTGGTATCCTTATACATGATTCATATCTCATATTGCTTAATCATAATTCGTTACTTGCACATGTACTTGACCTGGCCACAATTGACTCAACATAGGTAAATCAGGAGTCGTATAATTGCATTTCCTCGGGATAAACCCTCGTGCAAGTCATCCTCCTTAAACGTCATAATATCACCTGGGAATATATATTTTCCCACTTGTGCATCCCAATACAACAATCATGAAAAATCATATCCAATCACCTTCTCGAACCATCATAAGGCATATTCACAATTAAACCCACATCTGGCAACATATATGGAATTATCAACATAAACAAGGTCCATATCGGTTAGGGCAAGTCAATAATATCATACAGCAGTCTAGGGTTCAACATATAGCACAAAAGTTCATACACCCCTAATCATGCCATTCTAGTTCACCTAGGTCAATTCTAAGCATCAATATAATTATCGTGATACGACACACCCGGTATGCCGTGCTAATCCCTCACCAGTTCTGGTCGTTCAAACACCGGTTTAACCTTCCCGTACTAAAACGTCAATTTCAGGAACAAACCCCGAATTAAAATCCGAGACCGTCCTAATATGCCCTGCAGTATCCCCGTCAATATTAGTTCTAGGCTCCGGGTCAAATTCTTGATAAAAACACATCAAACCCTGGCCGGAGCTAAATTCAGCGGTTTGGACCCCGGCCTAAATAATAGCTGAAATTCAGGGATTAGAACTAGAGGATTGATTACCTCGCTGCAGGAAGCTCGTATATGAAATTTGGGCTCAATCCGGCTTCCGGATACCCCGAAACCCTAATTTGGTTTATCGGGAATTCAAGAAATTCCTGAACCAAAAACTCGTTTTAAAGCTCTAAATCGATAAATCACGATGTATAGATGAATTAGGCATTACTTACAGGATTTTTGGATCAGTAGAGCTCAAGAATTTGAGCTTTGGAAATTCTCCTCGCGATGCCCTGTGCGCCTCTTGCTCGTCTGTTTTCTCTTGATACGTGAAGTAAGAAGAAGAAGATGGGAAATGAAACGGTGGTGGAGGATTTAAATGTACAGGGATATATATATATATATACATATATGGTGCCTTCTACGGTACCCCGGGTGAAATCCAGGGTACCGCATACCTTGAGTATGAAAACGCTATCTAGACCTCGAATTAGCAGGATTTTTGGGCATGATATTATACCCTAACCCTTAATGAGTGAACCCTAGGTCCTAATTATCTAAATCATAAACTATAAACCCTAAAATGGTGCATTGATTTTTTTGCCTATATTTGGACGAATCATAACGGTCGATTATTGTTTCTAATTAAATTGATCTTCGGGTATAAGATTTAGATAATTAAGACCTAGATGTTGATCTTTAAGAGTTAGAGTATAGTATCATGTCCGAAAGATTAGTCAATTCAATTCTGGATAGCGTTTTCTTACTCAAGGTATTCGGTACCCCAGATTTCACCCAAGGTACCATAGAACTCGCCATATATATATATATGGTGACTTCTACGGTGCCCAGGGCAAAATCCGGGTACGGGTACCTTGGCCGATCTTAACCATTCGTTTTCAATCTTCACGGCTCACGTTTGTTAAACCTTCCTGCGCACTAAATAACTAAACAAATTACAAAAAGGCTCTTGCTGCGTTAAGTTTTTTTTCATCCTAGTCCAACTAACTGACCCGATTAAATTAAATTGATTAAGACTGCAAACCCAATTGGGTAGACCCACTGCCGCCCTAACCAATTTCCAGTCTCCCTAACCAATTACACGATCCCTCTCTCGTCTTGGAGGGACACCCCTTCACAGTTCCAAGAGACGCTCCCCATCCAATTTGAACTCCCCAACTTAATCATCTTTTTGAATCCCAATTACTTGCATCCACATTCGACGTAGATTGAATTTCCCAATTTATTTTGCCTTGTTTCTTCTTCGCCATTTTATTTCCCCTCGCCTATCTCTTTCTAACACGATTACGGCGACCATGTCTATTATTTTGTTCATCAAACTTTTCATTTGCAAAAGAACCCTTGAAAGAGGTTTGCTAACCCTAGGGTTCATGTCGCTAGTGCTTTGTCATCTTGTCTTAGCGTTATTGTGATTTTCTCGAACCTTATATCTCTCGGTGGAATTTAGGTTTCCTGATATGTAGTGTTCGTCTCGCCCAGAGGATTGAGGAAGAAGATGAAGAACACATAATTTGATTCGAATCGGATGGAGAGGTCTCCTTAGTTTGTGTTTATGTATTAACGGTGCGTTTAGGAGTAATTCTAGTTGGACTAGGTCTGATCATTGATTTTTGCAGGCTTTTAAATAAGATTCAACCGTGGGCTTGTACATGACCCATGCAATATTCAAAAGTGGGACTGGAACGTGCGAGCCCATTTGTTTTCTCCTGCAATATCAATTCGTGCGCCAACCCTAGTTTAACTAGCTTTACTTACCCTAGTTTAAGCTACACGAGTTAACATCATCATTACTACATATCTTCCGAAATCTTCTAACTCTTGACATTCCAGACTCAACCGTCTCCATCACACTCACGTCTCCACACTCAACCCCCACGATCACTTTTTCTTACACCTACATTCTCTCTTTCCTTCATCTTCACCTTCCCTTGTTCCTTCTTCCTCTGACTCCATGGCAAACAAAGATAAATCTTTTGCGGAAATGGGGATACTATCTCTTTCAAACGAAGACTGCCGATCCACCGCAAGTCTCGGGGACTATCTTTCATTCACAAGCAAGACATCAATTGTGGCCGAGTACGAGTTCATCCACCTGAGTCCTTTCCCTGCAGAAGTAAAGAAGTTAATTAAAAATCTTGGCTGGGAAAAGTTCTTTGATCTCCGGAGTCGAGGAAGCACCAGTTACTGCCCGCATGTGGTGAGGAAGTTCTACCACAATTTAGAGCTGTCTGGTCCCTGCGATTCTCATCTCGTGTCGATCTTCCTGGGTCATAGAGTCTGCTTCCAGCCTCATCAGTTTGCTGAGATCCTCGATCTCCCCGCCGCAGGACACCCCATTGATAGCAGAAGCGATCTTGGGCGGCTGTACGATTTTGAGTTTGAAGTTGAACTGGCGAAACTGACGAAGGGGAGCATCCAGGCTTCTTTCCTCCCAGATCCTCTTCGATTCCTCCACTGGATGATCGTCAACTGCTTCGTGCCAAGGTACCGTGGTCATTCGATTATTCGTAAACTTGACCTGTTTATCCTTGTGCAAGCTCAAAGAGGTGTTCCTGTTAACCTCGCATCTCTCATGTGCCTGAACATGGTTGAGGCTGCTCCTAGAGGGGAAAACTGGTACACTGCCTTTCCATATGCCACCTTCTTGACCACCTTTCTTGAAAGGGTTGGGATGGATATGGGGGTTTATGCTAAGGAGGACCAGTGCGCCTATTTGCCAGTCTACCGTATCGTCGAATTAACCAATACTTTTATTGACCTTCGGCATACGGAGCATGAAGAGACCCTTGAGGCATCCTCAAGCAAACGTCCTCGGCTTACATGAGAGTCGATTGATGCAGGGCGGGGTGGAGCGTTGGAGCAGCAAAGGGGCCAGCATTGGATGTCTTTTGTTAATAAGTTTACTCAGGCTTTGTTGGTTTTTTTTTTCCAGTCTTATTCTCCAGCACTCAAAACTGTCAGGTATTGAGGGAAGCCAGTACATCATCTGACTAGGAAAGTCTCCCATTTTTTTAATTATCCAGACAAATATTTTTCTATGCATGCAGTATTTTGTGAATTTGCCATGGCTAATTTTCCTAAGACAGGTGACGAGATGTAGTAATGGTCATCCCTAAGCAAGGAGGTGCAATTGCATCCTACACTTGCTATGATGTGAGAAGCTATTGCAAGGGTGCAAATTTGCTTGCAATTGAAATTGGCCCACGAGTGGGGACTATTGATGATATTGCAATGTTTTCTCAAAATTATAGAAGTGGAAGTAGGGGACTACCTATGAAATTGCAAATGAATTTCATTGTGGGAGATTTTAATCCGCTTTTGTTCTAAGCAGTTCCAATTAGGTCGAAGAATGTGTTACTTATTTAATCTTCATTTTTTAATGGTTTTCGAAAATTATGGTTTTATTTATATTTGGTCACAAGTATAGTGACGATGATAGGCGTGAATAGTATGGATATGGCTTGATTATAATGATTTTTTATCTATGGTGATTTTTTCCCCTTTTTCATCAAGACTCATGCTTCTTTTACCCCCTGTGAATCTATCATGCTTCGTTTATAGTAAAATATCCTTTTAATTATACACAATAAAGAATCCATTAATTATGTAAGCCTTTTTATTGTATTTAATACTATAATGAATTCTCTGACTAAAAGGGGAGTGAAAACATCGTTGGTGGAAATTCAAGGAATGGAAGCCTTTCCATATCCTAGGAACATTAAATTAATTACATAAGAATTTTCTATCTGCCTTGTACGGGGTTTGGTCATTAATTATACTGATTGGGAGCCAATCAGTTGTACCTTTTGGGTTACCTATACATGAATGCAAATTTAATTATACGATTGGGAGCCAATCAGTTTAACTATACATGATCCCAATTAAACCTCTCTACAAGATACAATGGCTTGAAGCCTTGAACAGAAGCAGCCTCACTCACAAGTTGGAAGCTGGAATTTTGGTGAAGTCCCTTTGCCATTTCCACGAAAAAACAAACCAAACCAAACCAAATATAGAAAGCATTCACAAAGACCAAAAACCAAATATAGAAAGCATTCACCAAACCAAAAACCAAACCAAAAACCAAACATAAAAAGCATTCACCAAACCAAACCAAAAACCAAATATAAAAAGCATTCACCAAACCAAAAACCAAATATAAAAACCAAAGATAAAAAGCATTCACCGAACCAAATAAAAAACGGTTGTCCATCATCCTGAGAAAAAAAAAACATAACTGTTGTCCATCATCTTGCAAACTAAAACGAAAAATCAGGTTGTTCTTGGGCTCGTTGACTGGGTTTCCTTGTGCTCTTCTCTTTCCTTTTTCCTCCTTTCATGGGTTTTCTTGTACTCTTCCACTGCAGCTTCAACTTGAGGTGCAACTCTTCTTGCTTCCGTGACCACCATATGCCTTATGTAGTTCATGGGCTCTCGAACAAGGTACAAAGCGATCTGCATCCTCCTCACTTGAGTGCATGGCTATCAACATCAACAAACATGGTGCTTACCGCATGATTCAAAAATAACAATCAATTGTGGTTTTCTAATATGCGAATTAGAATTGTCTTTACCCAAATATAAGAGGAGTCCCAGCTTGCGCCATACATCCACATGCATACCCAGACTCCACTGTCAGACCTACATAAAATAAAAGCATTGCGTGATAAGAACCAAGTTGATAAGTCGTCGTTTAATATCACAAAAAAATGGGCATACTTACCGATGAAGTTGTTCTTGATCCTTTGAAGGATTTGGGTACGAAAACTCCGCAATCCTTGGTGGCGACAATCCCGGACCTTGTTCACGATAGAGAATCTTCCACAAGGCTTGCATAAATCTCATCTGTACAAATTAAGAAACGTTTGTACTTAGAAAGAGTTATTTACATTTTTTTGCGTTATAACGGCACAATGTCACAAATTTACCATTGTTTGAACTGATTGTAGTCGAAATGAATTGCGGTCTTCATTTGGTTGTGGATCTAAGATATGGACTTCTTCCTTGTCCAACTTAATGACAGCCAAGTACCAATGGGCATTATCTCTCATCGGAACACACACCTACATATGCGTAAATTGTCAACACGTATTAAAAAATAAACTGCAAACCATGTAATACTTATTAAGACGAACAGTTTACCTTGTTCACCATATTGGTTCGACTAAGGAATTTTGATTCGTATAGGTCTAATGCCATCTTGGGTGTTATTCCACATGAAATCACTAGTTCCTGCCCATGTGGTAGTTGCACAATTGAAATTTTGTCAACACAATATGATTCACGTTAAAAAAACATGTGTTGTAATTTTTTTGGTGAGAGGAAATTGTCATTAAGTATAATCGGACCACAACCTGTAGTTCAGCAGGCAGATAGCACACTCCTTTTCCGTCCTTGGAATTTGTCCACAACTCTTCTAGAGTCAAGTGGCAGGCCATCGCTGTTATAACCTAATATAACATGGACAAAAAACACTTCATGATACTATCGAGTTGTTATAAAATAATTCTACGTAGAAAGCATTGATAGTGGACAAACAAACAAAATTTTGGAGTTCCGTTGATTACTTCAGCATCTACGAATGAGCGAGGGCTTAAGGACCACAATGACTTCCTCGTACAAGAGTTGTTAGAGGTTTTGACCAATACTTCGTCAGGTGGCAGATGGGCTAAAAATATATAGTGAGCAAGCTGGATTTGCTCATCATCGTATTCCATAGCGGTAGGTAGCTTAAACTTCAAAACAACCTGGAATAGGGGCCACAAATAAACACGAGTGGAAATGCATTCGTTATGACGGAATAACGGCAAAGAACACTTCAATGGCAAACATGACACCTTTATTACCTTGTCAACAGAAGGTAGACAAATACTTTTTCCATTTGGCTTCTTTGGTGTGACCTCGGAGTCAGATTCATCGTCCGAAATAAAAACGATGACTGAAGCAGGAGTGGGTGGAGTGCTTACACCTTTGGGTATCCTTGGTTTCTTTGTTGGAGTCACAAATTCTGCTGTCTCCTACAATGACAGTGAACCTGCGATTAATAAATTAACTAGAATGAATTTCAATGGTAAAAAGAGCTATTATACATACCACAAGCTTGGACGAAGAGCGAGTAATTCTCCTATTTTCCATGTTGTGCCTCTAATCTAAGCTTTACTCTGTACTCAAAATCGCGGCAAAGAAGGATATGGAACCACTGCTCTATCGATGAAGGTTAATTATATATACAAGGTTAGGATAAATTGTGGCGCCATATTTTTCCCGCGAAAAAATAGTTAGGGTTTAGTCTAAGGTACATGAACTTGGGATAAACATGGGTAGTTATTAAACCTAAAATTAAAAATATACTTTTTTCGATCGAATAAAGAATTGAGTGCTATTAGTAAATATTCGCTCATATTAATATTTGATCCTTCCCCACACACGTAGTACACAGCTAGAGTCACCTGGCGTTTGGCTTTACTAAGAAAGGTTTTTCATTTTAAATATTTTCGTTATTTGTGAAAATGGTAAAGAAATCACTAAGATAAAGAACAGAAAGTTCAACTCGTTCCTACCAAAAATATAAGATATCACAAATCGTGTTATTAATGGGGATAATTATTAAGTGGCCCATTGAAGCATTAATTCGGCCATCATTCCCAGTAGGGTTTTGTAATCTACGTCCTTGGTTCCCCAAAATTTCCAGCAGTGACAATGACGTCGGAGGCAGACTCACCATTGACGTCGGAGGAAGTCCTAGTATTGACGTCGGAGGAAGTCCAAGAAAACGCTGGTGCCGGAGCTAGTCACACCACCCAGGATGATAATGTCGCCGATCTCATATTTCTACATCCTGAAGATATTAAAAAAATGAAGTTCGATGATACAGAAGAAGCCTATGATTTCTACATGGACTACGGGTTAGTCAAAGGCTTCGACATCAGAAAATCAGACATTGGTCGTGATAAGAACAAAGTTATGATATGGCGTGACTATGTATGCTCTGGCGAGGGAAAGAGGCGCATGAAGAGCACAGAACGAAAGAGAGAAGCAAGAGGGGAGACCAGATTTAAATGCAGAGCCAAGATGCGTGTTAAACAAGACAATGTCGATGGGAAGTGGTATGTGCACCATTTTGATGATGGACACACACATGAAACGATCCCCAGAGAATATAGACACTACATGAAAGGGAAACGTCGTATGAGTGATTCAGTCAAAGCAGCGATAAATTTTAGAAGAGCTGCAGGTATGAAAACTTCTCAAATTGTGAATCTGGCCGTATCAGAAGCAGGAGGCTACGACAATTTGGGGTACACGAGGAAGGATGCATATAATTATGTGGACAAAGAGAGGAAAGAACAAATCAGTGAAGGTGATGCCGCAACAGCCCTAGCCTACCTGCAAGCTAAATGCAGCGCGGACGAGCATTTCGTTATTGAACTAAAGAAGGATGACGACGACCGGCTTATTAAAATTTTCTGGGCCGATAGTATTTCTGTTGCTGATAATGCATGCTTTGGAGAATTACTGTCATTCGATGCTACTTACAAAAGGAACATTTACCAGATGCCTCTCGTGATTTTTTCAGGTACTTTTCCTTCACGCATAGAATTATCCCGAGCATGCTAAAATAACCCTAGAAGTTTGCATAATCTAACTTTGTTTGAACTTTTTTAGGTGTCAACCACCATTCGCAAACTTGCGTATTTGCATGTGTTTTCTTGGCTAACGAGAGAGAGGAAAATTATGTTTGGGTGTTGGGAGCTTTGAAGAGAAGGCTAGGCGGTGTAGATCCCAAGACTGTTATTACAGATGGGGATAGAGCAATGCGTAATGCTATTCAGAAAGTATTTCCCGATGCAACACATCGTCTATGTTCCTGGCATATAGACAAGACTATAACCAGAAATGTGAAGAATCATCCTACTTTTTTGCCCCGATGGAAGCATTTTGTGTCAGCTGATTGGAAACCTTCAGAATTCGAAGAAAAATGGAAATCAGTGGTTGAGGAATGCTCCCTTCAGCACAACAATTGGGTCTCCAATTTATTTGAGCAAAGACATGAATGGGGGTATGCATATTTGTGTTCGAAGTTCTTCGCAGGCTTGAGTACAACATCAAAATGTGAAGGACTGAACTCTCAACTTGCCAATTATATCGAGAAGGATAAAAATCTCCTTGAGTTCTTTATTCACTTTGATCGTTGGACTAGGGATATGAGGGAGAATGAGCGTCATGCTGATTTTGAATCCATTCATCGAGAACGAACCATCACAAGCAATGTCTTAGTCTCACTTCAGAAGAGTGGAGCGGCGG